AAATGCATTCATAAAAAAGAGATTTAAACATTCCTACCATACCTCACACAATTAAAACTAACAGCATACGCAAGATCTCTCAACAATTTGGCATGCTGCCACTATTGCTTGCCGAGAAACCTGACAAACAAACGACAAAGCTAGTAAACGCCCTCGGTCTCGAGCGTTGGTCCTTTTCCCTCGCTACTAATAAACAGTACAGCGACTGGAGTACGTGGAAATTCAACTGGCAGTGTATACCAAATACGAACCCAAAATTTTTATTAGACGAACAGTATAAGTTTATTAATTATATATATTATATATAGACAGCTAATGGATATAAGCTATTTTGCAATCTGATTGGCTCTCTACTAGCAGGACATTATATTTATTGGATTCGATACTACAAGGTAGATCCTAATATTGAAGTCGAGACATAATATTTTGCCATATTGAGCGAAGATGAATCCAATAAGCGTTTTACTATATCCAACAAAACAATGCTATAACAAAAATGTCTACAAGCGAGAATGATATACAGACAGCGATAGAATTATCACACATCGACGGCGAATTTGCTAAAAAATAAAATAAACTCAAAAAAGTTCATAAATGCGTTTTTAAATATAGTACCCAATTCAATCTATTCTTAAAGGTAATTTGGATCAATTTAACGAAAACAATAATATTTTACTAACCTCGCGAGTGTTGTAAGATGGCTGATTTATATATAGATTAAGTATTGCAAATATATGTTTTAGCAATTTCCAACTTTTTTCGTACATAAATCCGAGCTCTGCACGTCGAAAACATCATTTAATTACTCGATCCTTTAACCGAATAAATTTGCAGAACAGTTCAAGTAGGACAAACCAGTTCCCGAGAACTATATTCCTACCTTATCTCATCACATATACCAGATAGTTAATTCTCCCAAAATTCGCAAACTGCACATTTTTGGGCAGCATTTTAGGACATTCGTGGGCAGTACATGGAGCTTCTGCACGTCTGCATTGATAAAAGTTGAGTTTATCTTTGTTCTCCAACAGTTTACAAACCCGTAGAGGATCGATAAACAGGTTCCAAAAAGCCATCAAATATATGCTTATTAGCAAACAGAAAATGTGTACATTGAGCGTTGGAATTACCACAAATCACTCGAAAAATTGAAAAAAACCAGCAAATTTGTAAATGTTGATCCGCAATTTTGCTTTAAAATTGACTGACAAGGTGTATTCGTGGGCTCAGTGAGGTTGATTTCGCAATAAAATAGCTCAGATTTCGCGGGAAAATTTGTAAAATGGATAAAATTATTTGCAGCAGTTTCTATTTGGGCTTCTTTAACAGTTGGAAATTTATTTTAAAATACTTTTCTTTCATTTACTTGAACATACTGTACTTCAAGTAAGTATTTAAACGGCTTATTGTTGTATTGTGCGTATAAAATTTGCATACGAATACAATGTCGGATACATGCCCGACTGCATTCTATTCTTTCTTGAAATGGAAACTTGGTGAATATGAGCCCGCGCGTTTTTCCGTTGACTGTCCTGAATATCTGGCCATGTGTCCTGTAAAAACAAACAAAATGTATGTCAAGAATTCATTATTTCGAAGATAACTTGTACCTACAGTCTATTGAGAATATTCATAACACGCAATAATAATTCTTCAGTTAAAACGATAAGCACAAAGTTCAAATTCTTCGTTTATCTCTTGTACAAAAAATTCACATACATAACTTGACACATAAATAGACAACGATGACCATCATTATGCCTTATCTATCTTTATCAATTTCTTTCTCATTTCGTTGTTAGAAAACAATTTGTATTCTTACACACATACATGAAGCGCAGATACTGTCAAATATACACACACAGAAAGGGTGATTAAATTAATGACAGAATACATTCAAATCCTTACCTGCAAGAATATCCAGGGCCCAGGTGACATCGGCCATTCTCAAGATGACACAGCCTGTTAGTAAAAGGCTGCCCTATTTCAAAGCCAGAAATACAATCATCATTTGGACCAGGCATTCCATGTACTGCTACCACCATGAACAGGACAAGACTGAGAACATAACAAGACTTCATCGCTGCAGGAACTTGCGCCTACATTGAGACAAAATTAATTAGTCTATATTCATATCTGGAAATCCTTTTGCAGAGTGATCTCCCTAAGTCAGTTTGACGGCCTAACAGTTGAAAAACATGTTAAAAGTTGCAATTGTGAATAGGGAGATACCGCTTCACACGACTACCATTCGGAATTAAATCGTCCCCAGATGTTTTCCAAAAGAAACTGTCACAGGTGTTGGAAGACATTGATGGTGCTGAAGCAATAGTAGATGACATCTTAGTGTGGGGAATAGCCCGGCCACTTTGTTCATTTGATTTCGTTATTTCGAGGCTCTGTTCAACAACACATACAGTACCACATGATGCAAGGTTGAAGAAAGTCCTCGACCGAGTCCAAGAAGTCAACCTAAAGCTAAACCAGAAGAAGTGCCAAATCAGAAAAGAAGAAATGCGTATGTTGGTTATCTTCTAACCAAGGACGGTCTTAAGCCAGATCCCGAGAAAATAAGAGCTGTACAAGCCATGACTAAACCGACCATCCAACACGAAAGAGTTAAAAACATACTTGGGTTTATCCAATATCTCGCAAAGTTTTTACCCAATATGGCCGAAGTCAGTGCACCACTTCTAAAGTTGTTGGAAAAGAACACAGCATGGCATTGGGAAAAGCAACAAGAAGATAGCTTTCAACAACTCAAGAGAATGACAACCAGTGCCCCAGTGCTAAGTTATTATGATCCCAAGAAGCCTGTTACCTTACCTGTAGATGCCAGTTCAAAAGGACTTGGAGCAGTGCTGTATCAAGAAGAAAAAACAGTTGCATATGCCTCCAGAGCGTTAACACCAACACAGCAAAAATATGCACAAATCGAGAAAGAGAGTTTGGCTATTGTATTTGGTACAACCAAGTTTCACCAGTTCCTGTTTGGAAAAGAAGTACTTGTCACATCAGACCACAAACCACTTGAATATATATTCAATAAGCCTCTGCACCAAGCATCACTTCGTCTACAGAAGATGCTGTTAGGCTTGCAAGGATATGAGTTAAGAATTGTCTACAAGCCTGGCAAAGAGTTGTTCATTGCTGATACCATAAGCAGAAATTACCTAGAAGAGACGAAAGAAACACTCGCACAAGAACTCAAAGTAAACGAAGTCCACCTTACAGCCCACTTACCAATATCACCTGAAAAGTACCAGAAAGAAGAATAAGAAAGCAAAAAAGAAAGAATAAGAAAAAAGAAGAAAGAAAAAGAAAAGAAAAAAAGAATAAGAATTCCGAAAAGCCACTGCTGATGATGTTGTAATGCAAGCAGTACAAAATGCAGTTCTCGAGGGATGGCCAAAGAACAAAGCTAATGCACAAGCAGAGGTTAAGCCGTTTTAGACATGTAAAGATGAAATTTCCTGTGTTGATGGCCTCCTCTTCAAGGGAAACATATTAATTGTTCAAGGGATCGTGAAATGCAAACAACGTGCAAGAGACCTCCTCTACTGGCCGGGAATGACAAGCCAAATCGAGGATAAAGTTTCCAAGTGTCAAGTTTGCTGTCAATGCCAGAAAGCGCAAGCAAGAGAGCCCATGATAACTAGCAAGATCCCTGACCGCCCCTGGGCGAAAATTTGTGCGGATCTATTTGAACATAACAAGACACATTACCTATTAAGTGTTGACTACCACTCCAAGTGGATTGAAATTGCCAAACTGGATAACCAAAGCAGCCAGAATACCATCACTTACCTCCAAAGTCAGTTTTCCAGATATGGTATACCAGATCAGTTAGTGAGTGATAATGGTCCCCAATTCATAAGCGCAGAATTCGCAGAGTTTTCTACGAAATATGGGTTCACTCACATCACATCAAGTCCTCATTACCCGCAAGCAAACGGCGAGGCAGAGAGAGCCGTGCAGACCGTGAAGGGTCTTATCACCAAAGCCAAAGATCCATACCAGGCATTGATGAACTATCGAAACACCCCACTGGAAGAAATAAACCAGTCTCCAGCACAACTAAAGATGGGTCGCAGACTGAAAACCGGTCTCCCAACAGCAGCGCCACTTCTGAAATCTCGAGCATCCGATGAAGTTCAGCGAATTCAGAAGAAACAGAAGGAGAAACAAAAGCAATACTATGACAAGCGCACAGGAAAAGAATTACCACCACTTCAACCAGGAGAGGCAGTACAAATGAAACATGGGGAGAAATGGATTAAGGCCAAAGTTATATACACAAGCACCAGCCACCAAGATCATATGTCATTGAAAGTGAACAAAAGCAAAAGTATCGAAGAAACCGCCGTCACCTGCGTTCCAGTAAACTATCAGAGAAAGAACAGAGGAGTGATGTTAAACATGTAAACACCAAAGAGCCGAGCGTGAGCAGTGACAAAGCAAGAACCACAGCCAAGAATGCAGTTGGACAGTCCAGCCACGGTATCATTCTCTCGCAACACAATCTTGTGATAACAAGATCTGGACGTGCAAGTAAACCACCCAAGTACTTGATAAACAATTTAAAAAAACACACAAAAAAAACACACGGTAACTATACCTTTAAAGTATCATAACTAGTGACAGTTAATAAGTTGCGAACAGTTAAAAACAAAAAAAACTGAATAGCTATAAGTGTAGTTGATATTTAGGTCGTTGATTTATATTAGCAAGTTTATAATAAGAAAGGTGTAATGTAATGTATGTAGATGTCATGTATGCAGATGCTGCAAAACATCTTGGGAGTAAATATATAATGTCTTGATTACACAACATGGCGTGTGTCCCATAAACATAACACTTTCCTTCGAGGTGAAGCAGCTAGTCGACTAATAGATAAACTCAAAGAAATGTTAGCACAGGGTATCACTAGCCCTAGCTACCAACAGCCCTTGGTCGAGTCCAATTGTTTTAGTGAAAAAGCGGTCGGGGGAACATCGTTTCTGTGTAGATTGCCGGAAAGGCAACGAGGTCACGCTTAATGATTCGCCCCCAATTCCCAACATTGCGGACATTGGATAGCTTAAGATCTATGACGTCGACGTTAGCTAGGACGTCAGGGCTAAGCAGAGGACTGGGACTACATTAGGACGAGATCCTAGTCCCAGTCCTCTGCATAGCCTCTGAAAAGTAAAAGTAAATCTGAAATACGCGATATGAGGGATAGTGCGTGGTGTGCGCTAGGTCGATGGATTACTCAAAAAGATTGGTCCTCTGTCCTCGAAGCTAATATGTGTAAAGATAAATTTGATCTTTTTAACTCAGGCTATTGATAGATTCCTTCCACAAAAAGAGGTTAAAAAGTACCCAACAGATCGACCATGGATCACTACTAAGATAAAAAAGGGATTCAAAAACGCCAATCAGCTTTTATCCAGCAAGGGAAAATGTCAACAGCATACCGATATTGGAGAAACAAAGTCCAACGTTCCATTCGTGCAGCAAAATATCAATATTATAGCGTTAAAGTTACTGATGTACAAAGAGTTAATTCCACAAAATGGTGGAGAGATCAGAAATTAAAAAACTCTCTGGGCAAAGTTCAAAACTGGAATGGCACCATCAGTTTCTAGAAAATAGCTCTGACACTAAGTTACTAGCTAATAGGATTAACAACTTCTTTACTGGCCTTACTGATAATTTTGAGCCCTTAACCCCACGCATTGTATCCCATGAAGTTCCACAGGATTTCTTTGTAACTGAAAACGAGGTCTACAGTGCATTATCATTGCTCCAAGTAAATAAATCAGTCGGTCCTGATTA